TTCTTAAGCGTTGTAGCTATATAATTTCAAACATCCTCAAGAGCTATAACACATCTGCAGCAGAACTGGATATGAAGACAAAATTGCAGGACAGAAACACTTTAATTGTCCACTAATCTTCAGATTTCCTGCTATGTTTTAAAAAACTTTATTTGTGGAAACCTTTAGCGTGGCGGACAGCTGGCCGCCTTTGCGGCTAGTAATAAATAAATACAAGAAAACACAATAAGTTTCCTTTATTGGGCATAAGCTGCAAGTAAACAGAACTCATTAGATAAGTTCAAAATTAAGATAAAACAAAGAAAAATAATAGACATATGAAAAAAAGGAGGGGGGGGGAAATATTAATGAGGAAAAAAAATAACAAACAACTGATTCAAAAAACAAAAAAAAGGATGAATTTTTTTAAAAAAACCGGAAAATAAAAGATATAATCTTTTCATCAGCCCACACGATTATATCCGCAAAAAAGAGTGCTTTCTGATATTGTATTAATACAGCCAAAACTGTATTGATACAATATTTGTATTGATACAATATCATTTATTTTTCAATTATATTCATTTAAATTAGTATTTAAATTCAAATACTACAAAATTTTTATTTATAATAGAATATGAGATTTTTTAAAGGAAAAATGTGTGTTTAAAAACATTTTTTTAAAGGAAAAGTCTTATCAATTTAGCTCATTTTTAGTTATGTTTTTTGTTGGCATTTCATTTTCTTTCTCAAGTTTGGGATATATGGTGTGTATTTAAGTAACTTCCAAAACACAAAATCAGTCATCATATAGAAGTAATTTGCATTTTTTGTTACGTACTTTCTCGATTTATGTTTAGTTTTATGCTGTGACGAAATAAAGATATTTAATATCATTGACACGAAAGTTAATTAACTCTTACCTCCCCTAAGTTCTAAAGTGTAAATGGAAAGCAAATAATTTAAACTAAAAGCAAAATGCTAAAAAAAGACATAAATAATTTATTGAAATAGTATGCCGAATTTGGTAAAACTGGGAGCAATTTTTTAATTAAAAACTCAATAAAAAGCGCATTAATTTAATCATTTACACGCAAGGGAACTTTATGTACACAAATTAATTATGTACATGCAATTAGTACACAAATTAATTATGTGCATGCAAACATCCATGTAAACTAAGTAAAATACGATTTTTAACCCATCGTAAATAGTTTATTTAAATTGTGGGCGTAGTACAAATCTTGTCGAAAATAACATTTATGTAAGAACAGTTCCATTTGACCAACTGCTTCAGAAGGGTAATAAAAAGCATAAAAAGTATGAAAACATGAGTTTTCAAGCCGCATCTTTCAGCTGATAGATGTTACCAGGAGGATACGGTCGTGTCAAAAAACGGCTCCCTAATGCATCCCACACATGCTCTATGGGATTTAGATCTGGAGAGTAAGCTGGCCAATCCATTCGTGTGATATCTTCACTTTCCAGTAGCTCTTGAACATTAGCAGTACGGTGTGGCCGGGCATTGTCATCCATAAAAATGAAGTCTGGTCCAATGGCCCCTCGGAACAGACGCACATGGGGTAGGATTACCTCATTGCAGTAGCGGTCTCCAGTTACAGATCCTCGGTCGAAGATCTGAAGCTCAGTCCGCCCGTTCAACATAAAGCCACCCCAGACGACAACTCCAGGACCACCATGACGATCTCTTTCCGCGATGTTATTGGGATGAAATCGAGCTCCAACCTCTCTCCAGATCAACTGACATTGAGAATCGCTTGTAGCACTAAAACGACTCTCATATGTGAAGAGGACGTGACTCCATTGATGAGGTGTCCAGCTTTCGTGTTCTCTGCACCACTCTAAACGGTGCCGCGGATGGCTAACTTTTAAAGGTATGCAGCGTTCAGGACGTCTAGCAAATAAGTCACCTTTGTGGAGGCGTCTGGCCACTATAAATCTTGATACTTGTCGTCCTGTGGCTGTGCAAAGTTTCTGATATATGGCGCTCGCTGACTGAAAACGGTTTATTTTCGCCTGGAAGACAATGTAACGGTCATCTCTTGGTGTTGTTTTCCTTGGACGGCCCCCACCAACCTTCCGAACAGCTGTACCAGTAGTTTTAAAGGCATTTCAATCACCAGAAACAGCACTTTTGTTGATCCCGAAATCCTCGGTGACACTGGTCACACTACGCCCCTCCTCAAGCTTCCCAATCATTCTTCCTCGAGTAAAGTCGTCTAAATGATTTCTTGAAGACATGTTTCACAAAACAAATCACTTGCACTTGCAGTGAATGTCTTTAACTACGGTGCTCTCCATCCTTTTATCACAACTTTGACCTGTTCGCGCCGACCCGCAAGGTTTACGTACACTTACATTACCTAAGACGTTTTATTTTTAAAATTTGCATACAAATAATCTTTCTACTGAATTACGTGCATATTATACTGCAATTTCATGGCTATCTTACACATTGTTGGGGAGCTGTGGCCGAAAAACCACTTGTTGCTTAAGTTTTGCACACCAGTGTATTTAGGTTAAAATATGTTTTTTGAAGTTAGCTTACCACATGTTATGTATCAAACCTAACCAGTTTTAACGTATTTTTCATTCGAATGAAATAGGTGATTTTAGGTCATTAATTTCATAGGTCACTTTATTAATATAGATATAATAATATTAATATAATTTATATATATTAATATAATTTATAGATATTAATATAATTTATATATATTAATTAAATTTCATAGGTCACTTCACTTCATAGGTCACATAAAATATGAAAAGGATTACGCATTGTAAATTGTGTGTCAATAAAAATTTAAAAGTAAAACTTTGCTTTATTAAAATTAGACTAGTATTTTTTTCTACGAGTAAATATAAGGTATATTTTTGAGCTCACGTTATAATGCCTGTTTTTGCAAGGACAATAGAGTTTGCTATATTAAGTGTTGGCTGTAATCTCTACGATACCATGTTATATAGCAACATAAATTTCTTTCTAATCAAATATGGCAATGAGTGAAAAATTAAAAAAAAAGTTATAAGAATATCAGTTACGTGTAAATAGTGTTAGAACCTTAATTAATTTAAAGTTCATAACAGCCCAAAACTTTTGGACTTTCTTAGTTAGAAAAGTAACCATGTTATTTTCTGTCCAATGCGAGGTGCGCCAAAAAAATGTGAGAAATGGTTTTAAGTCATTTCATTTTTATGCTATATAGAGGAATTAAGTTTCAAAGATATCATGACAATAGACATCAAAGATATTATAACAATAGACATCAAGGATATTATTACAATAGACATCAAAAATATCATTGCAATAGTTATTCATGAATTCAAACAATGTTGCGTAACATCAGTTCCTTGTAAAACGCACGTTTGTATATACTATTTGGTTAAATTGTCTGTGCATATCGAACTTTTCAAGTTAACACCAGAATAATACATAATACAGGCTGGAAATACAGGATACAAGATATGCGTGATAGCTTCAATCAAATTAAAAGGGTTTAAAGTTTTATATTAAACAGGCGTTAATGAGAAAACTTAGCCAAACTTGACTAATTTTTCAGTATACTTGGTTTCCAATTTTTAAAAGAAAACTTGCTCAGTTTTCAAAATGGAAAGTTTTGACAGGCCAATACCACATAATCAAAAATGTTAATAAAATACAAATAACTATAAATATAATTCGTTGAATCAATTTGCAAATACATTTTAAAGAGTTATTGCTCTTTTAAAAAGTTACTATTAATGTCCTATGTGTATACATGATTTTTTTTATCATTGAAAGTTCAAAATTAGTAACTTCCTGTTCAGAAATAAACTTACAGAACTTACAGTTTCAAAGTAAATAAACTTACAGAACAGATGACAATTTTTGAGCTTCATAATACACATTAAACAATCCATTCATAATAGATGTTATAGATGATATTGTTACATATTTGTTATAGATGATAGAAAAATAATAGAGTTGACCAAATGATAGCAACTATCTCCCTTCTCTCCAGACCTTCAACCAATCTTAATACAAGTGTCGAACTGTTGAAAACATCCTATTATCAATCAGAAGTGTTGAGTTCTACACCGCAATTCCGCAGTAAGAAACTGGTTTTAAATATATGTGCAACTTTCCTCTTGAATTTCGAGACACATGTACTACTGCCTTTTATTTTGCGCAAAGAGTATTATGCTATGATTGAACATGGTAGCATCAATACAATTCTGCTCGCCTTCAAAAAAAAAAATTATCGACTCTTGTTGAACATGAATAAAAAAGGGAAATTCTTGAGAAACACATTGCACAGTAAAGTCTTGCTTATTATATTTCGGACTACAAATTTTTCCAAACTTTTTAACCGTATGGAATATTTGAGCTTGTATCTACATCCAATTTTATTGCCTTCGAATTCTTACGAAAGCTGAGGTCTTTTTAAGGAAGTAATTTACAATTAGCCATAAAATCTCACATATTTCAAGCGTCGCAAAAAGTGACAATCCTAACCACAAACCAAGTTCACTACCAAGGTGACTGAAGATTTCCGATTTTTCATACTTAGGCTTTAGAAAATACGACGTTAGTCTGAAATCGGAGAAATATAATTTTAATGCTGCCTGATTTTTCGCAATGCTGTTTTTATTTGCATTTATCATATTATATTTCCGAGAGTATCCGAATGCATTTGATGGCCATTTTGCATAGGAAATTTGGACATCGTAACCAACAGAATGGCAAGGAAATGGACAGTCACAACTGAATTTGTCTGCTGTTAGATCTTCCAAAACCTTATCAAGACAACAAACATCTGTGGCATTGGAAATATTGCAAGGCTTTGTATCATCTGCTTTTGATATAGTTGGATCTGTGCATCCACATGCAAGTTTATTAAAATTTTGTATGCAACTTCTGACGCAGTCCTGTTGGTTGCAGAAAGGATATTTATTATCAAGTTCGTACTGAATACACTGATCTCTGAAAGGATATGGTAGTCTTACGATCTGCATTTTTGAGATACTTATTGAAGTTTCGAATCCTGGACTAATTGTAATCCCTTCTTCCTCTATATTTGGCTCATCCTTTGGATGATGTATTAATATCTTTGCTCCAATTGTTTGCGTTTCTCTCATATATTGCTTAAGATGCAAATCCAAAACTAGCTCCAAACCTAAATTAAGTTTATTCATTGAAGCCACAAGGGGATTCAAATCACTTTTCTTTCGTTTGTTAAAAGTATAGCAGTTACCATGGCGGAAACTTTGCACGAACGAAAATTCTTCTATAGAGCAAATTGCGCCATTTATCGAGCAGTTACGTATGAAGCTACTGGCTTGCTCTCCTATTGATTTACGCTTTTCTTTATCCAAAAGAGAATATCTTGTCAAAAATGGAAGTGCTGAGTTATCCGAGATGTTGCTATTTCCATACAAGAGAGCTTTGCATGATGTTATTGTATTTCTTTCAGACAGAGTGAATGTTGTTTTGTGCACTCGCATCCCATTCTTACAAACGTTCATTGAACTATTTGGATTCAAGCACAAAATATATCGCTTTTTCATTCGATTCAAATTGCAAACAGTTACTGCAGGAAATTCTAAGCTCCACTTATGTTCGACTTGAAAATCGACGATAACGTCATACCGTGAATATACAACTATGAAAGGATAAAGTTGGTGAATACAAACAAAAAGCGCCATGAATAGAAAAATAATCCAAAAGACTTGATGAAATGTATTTTTTGATTTTCCAACTTGCGCTATGGCATAAACGGATGAGTTCCCGAATACGACTGCAGGTTCAAGAATTTCCTGCTCTGTGTCTTTTTCAGGTGAAAGAGCTTCCATTTTCTTTAAAAAATAACATAATTACGTTTCACAATGTTTTTAAATGAAATCACCTGAAACAACGGATTAAAAACAATTAGTAAATTATTTGATTCTACTTCCCTCTCTTTCTGTCTTCCAGGTAAGATACAACCCACTTCAGTATTTACCTTTTGAACAACAAAGTTATTCATAATTCAATTTTCTATTCTTAGTTTCTTAAGAATTTTTTCTAATAATTGTCCTTCCTAATATGTATTAGTATTATATTACGTATTTTTTATTAATCCGAAAAATTTCATTAGAGTCCAAATTATATTTCAAAATTTAGATCTTTGCTTGTACGCGGGACCCATAATATACTTCCGTCACTGTTCGTGTACAAAAACAATTTTTCTATTTTGTTATCTATCTATTCCACTTTATGTTCTGTCTATTTTATTACTTGCATTATTAATGCATAATGTTCTTTCTAACCATATATAACCACATTTTATTTTATTCCAAGAATACGATATACCGGGCAATGGCACTTGTACTTAAAAAATGTCAGTGTAGGGTATACCGGGCAGTGGCACTGAACCTTATAAAAATATCAGTGTAGGATATACCGGGCAAATGTATACTGGGCAGTGGCACTTAACTAGACCTTTGGTAAATGTCTGAAATATATACTAGGTCTAGTTAAGTGCCACTGCCGGTATACATTTGCCCGGTATACCCTTCACTGATGTTTTTTTAAAGTTCAGTGCAACTGCCCGGTATGCCCTACACTGATGTTTTTTTAGGTCAAGTGCCATTACCCGGTATATATTTGCCACGTATACCCTACAGTGATATTTCTTCCAATATATCGTCCTGATGAGGTATTAAAATCTCGAATAAATGTAATTATATACACGAATAAATTAATATCAAATCGGATGTAATAAATATTTCGGACATTCAACAAAGCGACTATGTGATTGTCAACATTCACAGGTGAAAGTCAACAATCACCAATTTCGGTCATTCACAGTAACATGAACATCATTTACGTAATAACCTCATCAGGACATTTATTTTAAACTTTGCCTAAATAGCATTTATCATTCTATAGAATGCCTAGGCGATGTGTGAAATATAAATCATTTCATACTTTGCCAGTATCATATATATTAAAATCATCACCCCGACAATAGTTAGGAATAAGCTAATCATATAAAGAACATAAAAATCTCTATATATATTTCTCTTACACGGCGACAAAAAATCCTCATTACAACTCCCCGAATGGCATCGCTAGAAAATCGACCAATGATTGGCGCTAAAAATGTCACATGCCAAATCTAGCTGAGATGGCTCAACATATAGCACTTTTAAAAACGGAAACTGAAATAGCGAGAGCATAAGCTAGACAGAAGTGAGTAGTCTTTCTCTATTCTTAGATCTCTATTTATATATATTAATGTGGGTCGATAGATCTCTATTTTAGTATTTAGCCGAAAGCGCTTTTTTTCACGAATTTATATATTAAGAATTTATTTGACGATTTTTGATTCATATCACGAATTTATTTGTTTTACTAGAATTTATTTGTTTATGCAGGTTTTTCCATTACAATTCACTTATTTCTATTTTTAATAGGCTTGATTATAGCCAAAATGTGAACCTTTTTAAGGAGATATCAGTTTTAGAAATTTTATCTTAAGATTTTATACTATAGCACATTTCTAATAGGTTTAACGAATTACATGTCATTTATTTGAATTAAAATTTATTTTAATGACTTAATATTTACTAAAAAGATGTAGTTTTTTTCAAAAAAAAGTTGTTATATGGATTTGAATAATTGTTTTGAATTCTTAAAATTTTGTGCATTTGCAATGTACCTCAGTTAGTAGCGAGCGAAGCGAGCTTGGTTTGCGAAGCAAACCATATAAGATTGCGTAGCAATTTTCTGGGGTTGGAGAGCGTTAGCGAGCAGGGGGCGCAGCCTACTAGTACTTTAAATTAATTTAGTGTAAACCCATTAAAAATACATGCTCGTGAAATTAAAATGAAAAAGCTCTGTGTAAAATACAATCAACTCCAAGAAGTGGCAAAACTATGACCTGCTTTTTTTTACTTAATCTAGCACGACTTTTTTAATTAATTCTTATTATAGCTTGATTTTTATGACTCTCGTAATTTTTTATTTGTGATAATGGTGTTGAAATCGATCTAGTCGAGAAGTGTGGTGACATGAAAAACCTAGAACCATACCAATTTTCTCAACGGGGAAATTATTTTTTATATTTTTCTCAATGGGTTTATTACATATTATATTCATAAATAAACATACTATAGACATAACCAAAGAAGCATAAAGTACTCACAAAATATCTAAATCACGGTATAACAATTTTCACAGGCTGCGCGCAACTGTAACATTTCTCATATTTAAAATACTTTTAAATATATTTTTTTGTAAACGTTCCCTTTATTCAATGCAAAAAATGGCAGGAATCAGTAAATCAATACCATGTTGTCAAATAAGATTTGAAAAAATTATAGGAATAAATAAAAACAAATCCTAAGACGTAATATGGTGGCATAAATATTGTAAACTGCTTGAAACAAAACATATTATTGCATGCGTCTTGTATTCAATCTTTTCTAAAAAGAAAGATTTAACCAAAATAGCCTTTTAAATTAATCAATATAAATTTTACATTTAAAAAAATCTGATATTGTATTTAATTATGATTCTAGTTGCATTGTTGTTATGGAAATCATTACATTTCCTTTTATCAAAACAAAAGCTCAATGGAATAAATTAATAATTTATTAGTTGCTAAAATGTTTAAAGTATCTACATGCATATATATGTCATACATAATATATGTCATCCGTTGCTCAGAGAAGGGGCACAAAGATGATGATTCAGATAAACTTTTTTTTCTCAGAAAAATCATAAGTTGTATAGTCTTTATTATCTTTATATTATCTTTATAATATCTTTATAATATCTTTATTTTGCATAACTCTGTTTGTGGAGTAATGTATGTGTGTGTATATATATATTAAAATATTAAGGAAAATAAATTCTGAAGGACAAAACAATATAGTTGAAGTAAAACTACGCTTTGTAAATATTTTCTAACTCCTTTTCCGAATCAATTTTTAATTTTCAACTGGCTAATTTAAAAATTTATCAGCATGTAAATAAATCATCAACTTCGGTTACGAGTTAGAGTTTTACTTTTAAAAAAATTCTTTTTAGCAAAATTGTGGCATATAAAAAAAAGAAAGCTTTAAATTCTGTGTTTTAGTATCATTTTCACCATATTGGTGTTATTATTTTATGCAAACCAATAATTTTAAATCCAATAAAAATATATTATGGGCAATGGAAACTACATGAGTAATATGAGTACTGTTATATCTTAATAGCATATTTGAAGCCAACCTCAAGAAACATTAAGATTAGGTCTTTAGATCGAGAAGAGATCATTAGATAAAAAGTTATTCTGGGTGATTCGTTTTATTAGCTCATGGTAAACGTAGAAACAAAGTGTTTGTTTCTTTATCTTTGTCATTTCTATGAGTTTTAACTTTACAAAAAATTCTTTTAAATATGTATTCAGCCAAAGTACACAAATTTGATTTTAAAAAAACAAACAATACAGTGTTATCTCGAAAATCGTAGACACAGATGTTCAATTAGACGTTTTGCAGATACAGAATAATTTACATCTCCTTTAAACTTAACCCTTTGACTTAGATAGGACATCAGTGTCCCTTTTCTGTATTCTTTTTTCTGCACTCTAATTAAAAGTAGAAACATATTTTGATGTTTTTTAATAATGAAAAAAGTTGCTGAAAAAATCTTTTTGATTATCAGAATCATATTAATACTAAAATGCAAAATAAAAAAGAAGTTTAAAAGAAATTTTCCACTCATGTTCCAAAATTTATCAATAATTAATTTTGTGAATTAAAGAAATTTCAATCATAAAAAACTGCTTCTCTTAGATTTAAATTACAGCAAATAAATACAAATTTCAAAAATTATTGTTAGCCGCGTTTGGAAGACTTTATCTTTAATGCAGAGAGAGACACCGATGTTTCCTGCTGCATTTCTTAACCATAAATCAGTTAAATGCTAAATATAGTATTTTTCACTTATTTTGACCTAAACTAATACAAAATTAAAAATAAAAATATTAAAAATATGTTTGATAAAAATTCTAATTCTGTGTCAAATGGTTAATGAGACTGAAGACTGTAATATTCTCCTGACATTGGGACGCTGTTGGAAAATTAATGAACTTATGGATCTATCAAATTTTGACGAGTCTTTATATAGCTGAGGTTGCTGTTGTTAATTATTTGTTGCTTCAAAATTGTATCTTTATCTGAACATTATTTTCGGTTTTGCTCATTCATTTCTGCTCGGAAATAAAGAAAGAACTCAAAAATATCATTGCTAAAAAGTCATATAAGTACAATTTGAAATACATTAACATAAAATAAGAATCAAAGAAATGTACGAATGTATAAGTTATAAAAAAAAATATTTGATTTTAAAGTTGTCTTAAATATATAGATACTTCATTCACGTCGCCACTAGAGCTGCACAATGGGCTATTGGCGTCGATCTGGGAAAGATTCCTAAAGAGGATCCGAAGATATGCAATCACAGTTTTGAT